ACACATGATATGGCTATATATAATACAGAGATGCTGAGGAACCACAGGAAGGCTGCCCTCAGGTTGGAAGGTCTTTGAAGCTCAAATGATTTCAGTCAAAAACTGGAGAACCAGTTTAGACAGGGACCAGTGCCTCTGCTATTTTTCAGTAATCAGCACTTGAAAACCATAAACAGTAAACAGGAAAAAAAATCCCTAAATTTGCTCAGGAGCTCCCAGGACCAACCTAAGACCACCCTATGCCTCCCAGAACCACCCCTGACCAGCTCAGACTCTGCCTCAGGAGCCCAGGTCCAGAAGAGCCCCCAAGGCTTCATGGAGAAATGAGTCCTCAAGCCTGTGAGAAGCCTTATCCCCTCTGCATTCAGGTCCCACAGACCTCTGCACACCTGCTCCCCACAAAAGCCTGGCAGGGTCTGACCATTCATATTTGGTTCAGTTCAGTCGCTCAGTCGTGTCCGACTCTTTGCGACCCCATGAATCGCAGCACACCAGGCCTCTCTGTCCATCACCAACTCCCGGACTTTACTCAAACTCATGCCCATCGAGTTGGTGATGCCATCCAGCCATCTCATCCTCTGTTGTCCCCTTCTCCTCCTGCCCCCAATCCCTCCCAGCATCAGGGTCTTTTCCAGTGAGTCAACTCTTTGCATGAGGTGGCCAAAGTACTGGAGTTTCAGCTTCAGCATCAGTCCTTCCAATAAACACCCAGGACTGATCTGCTTTAGGATGGACTGGTTGGATCTCCTTGCAGTCCAAGGGACTCTCAAGAGTCTTCTCCAACACCACAGTTCAAAAGCATCAATTTTTCGGCGCTCAGCTTTCTTCACAGTCCAACTCTCACATCCATATATGACCACTGGAAAAACCATAGCCTTGACTAGATGGACCTTTGTTGGCAAAGTAATGTCTCTGCTTTTTAATATGCTATCCAGGTTGGTCATAACTTTCCTTCCAAAGAGTAAGCGTCTTTTAATTTCATGGCTGCAATCACTGTCTGTAGTGATTTTGGAGCCCAAAAAAATAAAGTCTGACACTGCTTCCACTGTTTCCCCATCTATTCCCCATGAAGATCATGGCATCTGGTCCTATCACTTCATGGGAAATAGACCATTCATATTAGGGTCATTCAAATCCACTCTCCAGCTCTGCACACAGTCTTCTTCCTGTCTTCCTGGAGCACCTACTGTTTCCACCACACTTTGGGGCATTTGGTTATAGTTTTTTCCTATATGTTGGTCTCCCCAGTAAGACTATAAACTCTTTCAGCATGGGGCAGATCTGTTTATTTCTCAGAGTTCCTAACTAAATACTCATCAAAATACAATACACTTGCCTTGACCCTCCCCACCTGCCTCCCCAATCAACTGGGACCCTCCCTGCCTGCCTCCCCAGTCAGGTCTAGTACCCTCCCCATCTGCCTCCCCAGTCAAGTCTGAGACCTTCCCCACCTGCCTCCCCAGTCAAGTCTGGAACCTTCCCTACCTGCCTCCCTAACCAAGTCTGGTGTCCACACACTCCTGCCTTGCCTGCTGAGGTTACTTTAGGTGAGCTCCCTGGAAACCAAGAGACACTCTCCCAACTCCAATCTCTGAGATTATCATTCATTGAGAATTGATCTAGAACCCCAAAGTGAATGGAACAGCCTGGTCACTGAAGAGTTTACAGTCAGGTGGAAGGGGCAGACATACAAGTGGTTTCAAGAGAATGGAATCAATGCCATGACTGAGTATGCTCAGGGTGACAGAGAGACACAGAGCAGGGCCATGTCTCCCTGCACAGCGGCTCAGAGAACATTTCCTAGAGGAGCTGGAGCCCCAGCTAAGACCTGAAGGTTGAGTTGGGGAGGGAGGGTCCAGGCCAGAAGGTGTCATATATAAGAGGATATAAGAGGATTCAGAAAGAAGAGAGAAGGTGTCACTCAATCATTCAACAAATTTGCTAAATACCTTCCCTGTGACAGGCCTAGAAACACCACTCCTGGCTTTGAGGTGCTTACTGATGACAGAGGCAGGCATTTCAACAAGTCCAGTGGTTAGTGCAATGGTCAGATTACAGGGTAGTGGTTCAGAACCACTGTGTAAGAGGATACTCAAGTGCAGTCAAAATTACCCTTGGAAATCTCCGCAATTGTCAGCTCCTGAGTCCTTGGAAGCTCCCAAGACAATAATTTTTGTTTCCCTTGGCTTTCCAGCCCTATCTTGGCCTTCCTTCCCCTAGGCAATGAAGGACAAAGTTTATTTTTAAAAGGAGGAAGGACTAGGAATATACAGGAGGGTTTCCTGATTTTTTTTTTCCAAAAAATATTTTGAAATTAAATGTGCATCTAGTGAAGTTCCATTGTCTATACTTGAGTGGGGCTGAGGGGGCGGGGGGAAGCCTAGCAGGTGCCAACTGAGCCTCCTCTCTAAAGCAGCTTCTCTAATTTGACTGTGCCTGTAGACCCTCTTGGTCAAGTGCAGATTCTGACTCAGTAGGTCCGTTCGGGGGCAAAGCTCAAAAACAGGAATTTCTAACTTGAAACCTCTAACAAGCTGATGCCCACAGAGCACCAACGGTGCACCAGGGACCACAGTTTGAGAGCCTCTAGAGCAGAGAATGAATGAACTGTGGGGGTGGGACTGCATTCCAGGCAGAAGGTTAGTAGAGAGCTGCCCATGACTCCCAACCAGGGGATCAAAAAAGAAGACAGGGCTGGAGAGGGAGGACCCGTTGATGAGCTTCACAAGTGGTGGGAAGCAGATGACAATACAAGAACAAGATGCCCTCTGGATGGGGAAGTGGGGTGGGTGTATTCTTCCTTCAGGGAGACACTTTGCATATTAAACCTAAAAAATACTCTTCACTCCAGAAATACGTACTCTCCCAATTCTGGGAATATGCAGTCCTGTTTCTCCATTTCTGATAAAAGACCTAGTTACAAGACAGTTTTCCCTCTTAACAGTGCAAGTCAGTAATAAACAGCAACCTACACTTGACCTCTGGGGGGGGGGGGGGTGGCGGGAATGAGGGAAGGGTAAGGACATGCTCACACCCACTGGCAGGACGGGGGTGCCTCTGCTCAGCTCCAGCTGTAGGTTGCTGGGAACATGGACTCAAGGTTGCCAAAAGAAGCCAGAAATCCCAATTTGCTTGTGTGGAACATCCCAACTTTAAAATCTTGAGTTCAGTTCTGTTCCAGAAAAATCTTGAGTACTAACTCAAAAATGTTTCCAACACTGTGAGTGCGAAACCGTTCAAGTCTGCAAGGCAAGTCCAGCCACTGGGTGTCTCGTGTGTGACCGCTCGTTTGTGTCTCATTTGTGAGCTAGGGGTTGGAGAGACCAGGGCTGCTTTCCAGGAGTCTGAGTGCAGCAGTGTCAGTGATGGACTAGAGCAAGGGAGAGCCTGGAGGCTGATGGGCCTGCTAGGAGGCTCTTGCTCACCTTGGCCAGAGAGACTGGATGTGCAGAAACCCCAAGGCAGCAGGAGGCGGAGAAGAGCAGGCACATTGGAGGGCAGAGCTGCCTTGCTGAATGATGGACTTTGAGGATGAGGGGGAGAAGCTATCTGGACTGACCCACAGGTTTCCAGCATGGGTGATGGGGTGACTGATGGTGACATTCACTGAGATAACAAATACAGAAGCAGAGCATGTATTAAGGGAAGCTTCTGTTTAAGCGAAATTCAGGTGTCTGTGGATGCATCAGCAAGCCACAGGGATATATAGTTTGAAGTCAGAGCAGATGTGAAGATGAGTCAGCTTTCTAGAACCCAAATCTGGTCAAGTACTATCTGCTTAAAATCCTCTAATGGCTTCCCTTGTTTAAACAGACTCCTCCTCATGGTAAACAAAGCCTGGAGCAACCAGCCCCTTCTGGCCTCTTTGTACCACACCTCAACAGGAATGCCGTTTTCCCTGCCTGCTGAACAACTCAGAGTCCCAGCAATAAGCCATACCTTTGTTCTTGCTAGTCCTGGGGCCTGCACAGCCCTTCCACCCCATCCCCCCATACATTCAGAAAATTCCTACCCTTTTCAGACTGCTCTGAAGTCTTTGCTGACCCCGTCAAGCAGAAAAGGTCACTCCTTTCTTTGTGTCACCCCTGAACTCTGCTTGTCCTGCTCTTCCTGCCCCATCACTCCCTGCTCTGGACATCTGCCTGTCTGTAAACTCTTTGGAGGCAGAGACCATGCCTGACTTCCATCGTATAGTGTGTCTGTGTGTGTGTGTGCGCGCGCGCACGCACACACGCGCAGTCATGTCCAGCTCTTTGCAACTCCATGGACTGCAGCACGCCAGGCTTCCCTGTCCTTCACTGTCTCCCAGAGTTTGCTCAAATTCATGTCCATTGAGTCAGTGATGTTATCTAACCATCTCATCCTCTGCTGCCCCCTTCTCCTGTTGCCCTCAATCTTTCCCAGCATCAGGGTCTTTTCTGGTGAGTCGGCTCTTCGCATCAGGTGGCCAAAATATTGGAACTTACGGGGTTGCAAAGAGTTGGACACAACTGAGCAACTGAGTAACAACAAAGTGGTAAAGAATCTGCCTGCCAATGCAGGAGACACAAGAGACTCAGGTTCAATTCCTGGGTCGGAAAGATCCCGTAGAGTAGGGAGTGGCACCCCACTCCAGTATTCTTGCCTGGAAAGTTCCTTGGACAGTCAGACCCAATGGAGCACACATACACACCCTGTATAGTATGTGTGTGTGCTCAGTCGTGTCTGACTCTGTGGCCCCATGGGCTATAGCCTTCCAGGCTCCTCTGTCTGTAGGATTCTCCACACAAGAATACTAGAATGGGTTGCCATTCCCTTCTCCAGGAGATCTTATAGTAGGTACTCACCAGATGTTCAAGAGTGAGTAAGTACCCCTTCTCCAGGAGGTAAGCTGCTAGTCTGGAGGAAGATGCTCCTCATTTTTCCAGGGACCCTCCAGCCCCTTCTCTCCTTTGGGCCCAAGAACAGCTCAAGGCCCCCAGGGGCTGACCTTGCGTTTCCTCTTTCTTTGCAGCTGGGGCATGGCCGTCAATGTGTACTCCACATCTGTGACCAGTGAGAATCTGAGTCGCCATGATATGCTTGCGTGGGTCAATGACTCCCTGCACCTCAACTATACCAAGATCGAACAGCTCTGCTCAGGTTGGAGGCTGGGAACAGGGAAGGGCGGTGCGGAGGGGAGGGCAGGGAAGGCGGGAGGCAGAACAGCCTCAGCGGACATTGAGGATTAAGGAGATTAAGGAGACCTGCAGAGCCCTCAACCAGCCAAAGTTCTGGAGTTAAAGGAAGGAAATGGCGGGGGGGGGGTGGGCGGGGGGCGGGTCTCCATGGGATGGAAAAAGTCCAAAGCGAAGAGCGGCAGAAGTACAGTGCAGGGCTGCAGGAGAGGCAAGCAGTGAACCAGAGGTCACCAGCACCAGATCCAGCCCAGCTACTCAGAAGGTCCCAGTCTCAGCTCTTCCTGTAGTGCAACCCTGGGCAAGTCACCACCCCTCTCTGTCTCAGTTTTCCAGTCCATAAATGGAGATGACATCAGCTGTATAAGTAGGGTTGCTGTTAGGACTGAATGTCATACATGCAGTGTTTGATATGGTGCATGCATGCTAACTCGATTCAGTCATGTCCTACTCTTTGCAACACTGTGGACTGTAGCCCGCTAGGCTCCTCTCTCCATGGGATTTTCCAGGCAAGAATACTTGAGTGGGTTGCCATGTCCTCTTTCCAGGGGATCTTTCCAACCCAGGGATCAAACCTGCATCTCCTGCGGCTCTTGCACTGAAGGCGGATTCCTTAACCCCTGAACCACCAGGGGAAGCCCGTGTTTGATATGGTGCTGGTACCTCATTGTATCATTATATAGTAATTTCTCCCATTCTTGGGAATTCTGGCTGTGCCTATCCTGCAAGTATTAGAGAAGGAAATGGCAACCCACTCCAGTCTTCTTGCCTGGAGAATTCCATGGACAGAGGAGCTTGGTGGGCTGCACTCCATGGGGTCACAGAGAGTTGGACATGACTAAGTGACTTTCACTTCACTATTCTGCAAGTATGACTGGCCCTGGCCCCAAAGAAGGAGAAGAGGAGATGGGGAGGTTTGGGGGAGTAGCCCCAGTGGGCCCAGGAAAGTGGAAGCAAGCTGCCCATGTTTCTCTGCAGGGGCAGCCTACTGCCAGTTCATGGACATGCTCTTCCCTGGCTGTGTGCACTTGAGGAAGGTGAAGTTCCAGGCCAAGCTAGAGCACGAATACATCCACAATTTCAAGGTGCTGCAAGCAGCTTTCAAGAAGATGGGTGTTGACAAAGTAGGTGCCTGCGCTCTGAGGGGCCCCCGAGGAGCTCTGTGACCCCAGGGAAGAAGATGGCCCGCAGCAGGGGCCAAGGGGGTCCTTCCAGCTCTGATGCCACTCTCCACCCACTGCCTCTCCAGGGGGCATGCTCCCCCAGCTCAAGGCTCAGTGGAAAACCCCACAACATTTGACACCCCAACCTGACCACATTCCCATCCCTTCCTCCTCTCTGGACCCTACACTTGAGCCTCTCGGTGTACTGCTCCTGTTAAGTTCCTCCTCTGTAGGGCCCAAGAAAAGTCTCTTGGCTCACCGCTGCCTTGATGACCCAGGACCCCGGTTCCAGCAACCCCCACCCCACGTGCAGGGAGCAGCACCAAGGGACGTCTCCCCACGCACTTCCTTCTGTGCCCGGAGGAAAGGGCTGTCTCTGGACCCCAGGCCGGGGGCTCTGGAGCCTCCCCATCGGCTCTGTCGGCACGGGGCGGGGCGGGGTGGGGGGCAGAGAAGGTGGGGCCACTGCAGCCCCGGAGCTGGCCTTCCTGACAGCAGCGGCGCTCCCTCAAAGGACGGCAGCTGTGCAGCAGCCGGAGGTTAAAGTTCTCTGCTTCTGTGGTCTATTTCAGATCATTCCTGTAGAGAAATTAGTGAAAGGAAAATTCCAAGATAATTTTGAGTTTATTCAGTGGTTTAAGAAATTCTTTGACGCAAACTATGATGGAAAGGATTACAACCCTCTGCTGGCGCGGCAGGGCCAGGACGTAGCACCACCTCCTAACCCAGGTGATCAGATCTTCAACAAATCCAAGAAACTCATTGGCACAGCAGGTAACGTGCCCGAGCTGGGGAGAGGGTGTGGGGGGCCAGGCCGGCGGGGCTCTACAGCCAGGAGCGCCCCCGGGCCGCCCGGCCCCCGCCCGCCTAAAGGAGACTGTTATCACGGAGTTCAGATGACGCCGCCTGCTGCCCACTTAGACCAGGGGGAGTCGCAGTGGGAGGAGAGCCCCTGGTGCCAGCCCAGGTGGCCGCTGGTGTGGGAGGCCCGAGCCACTTCCTCCTGCCGCCCAAGCTAACTCGCTGACCTTGAGGTGACGGGGCAGCCCATGGCACAGTTCCTGTGTCCAGGTCATCCCGGCCAAGGGCCTGGGGCCAGCACCAAGGACTCCTCCTGCCCTCTGCCCACCTGATTCCCCGGGGATGGGAGTTTGCCCAGCTGGGCCAAATCTTCCCGCGTTTCCAGAATCTCACAGCCCCAAGTCCTCAAGAGACAATCTCTGGAAATGAGGCTTTGTCTGGGTTCTAGAAGAGAAGGGAGAAAAGCCACAGGGCCACAGGGAGAGGATTGGCCAGGGAAGGGGAGCAGCCCCCCCGCGTCTGAACCCGTCATAGCAGAGCGGCTCCTCCGTGTGCGCTGCCGCCCCCTGGGCCTGCCCCCACTCTCCTGCTTGCTTTGCATTAGAAGCTCTGTCCTGGGAGCTGCCTTTAGCTGGAAAATAAGTGGCCAGAGCATGACGGCGTGTGGGGGAGGAGCTGGGGTGCCCGAGTTAGGCCCAGCAGAGGGCACCAAGCCCGTACGAAGGCCCAGGCCACCCACAGGGGCAGGGGAAGGCTTCTGTGGTCTCCTGCAGTCTGGAGACTCTGAAGTCACCCCCAGGGAGGGTGGCTGTGGGCTGGGGCTTCTGTTAGGAAAGACCCAGCAAGAGCCAGACTTGAGGCCCTGTGCCCGCTGCTTTTCCTCAGGCCCCAGCTGTCAGCACAAGAGGGCCCTCACCCGCTCCATCCCCACTCCCCAAATTCCCAGTCCCCCTCCCCTCCCCCTCAGTCCAGCTCTCCTCCCTCCCCACACCTTACACTTTCTTTAGCTCCTGTCATCCCTGCTCTCCCAGGCTTGCCAGAGGGCTGCCCAGCTGCTGTGGTGTCGTGTGTGGCCGTGGCTTAAGGCCTAGGTGTAGAGTGGGAGAGGAGGGGAGGGCAAGAGTGCCTGCCTTTCGCATGGGCCTGCCCCGCCATTACACCAGGCTGTCTCGTGCCACGTCTGTGGGCTGTGGGTTCACGCAGCCCCATCTGACTTTCCTCCTCTGGACAGTTCCACAGAGGACATCCCCCACAGGCCCCAAAAATATGCAGACCTCCGGCCGGCTGAGCAACGTGGCTCCCCCCTGTATCCTCCGGAAGAATCCTCCGTCAGCCCGAAATGGTGGCCACGAGACCGATGCCCAGATTCTTGAGCTCAACCAGCAGGTGAGTGGGGTGCACATGGGCAGCTGAGAAAGCCAGGTCCCTGGGGCATCAGGGCGGGAAGGGAGGCTGACGCCAGGGTCTCTGCTTGAACACCACTTTCTCCCCCACCCGAGCAGCTACTGGATTTGAAGCTAACGGTGGATGGACTGGAGAAGGAACGTGACTTCTACTTCAGCAAACTTCGAGACATTGAGCTCATCTGCCAGGAACACGAAAGTGAGAACAGCCCCGTCATCTCGGGCATCATTGGCATCCTCTACGCCACCGAGGTGAGTCCTGCCGGGCACCTGATGGGCCTCCCCCATTCCCACCAGACCCTGAGACCAGAAGGGGCCTTGGAGAGCACGGGCCAGTGATGGCAGCCGGCTGAAGGCACCAGCCCAAGGTCCCACAGAGCATGTGCTGCGGCAGGGGGCCGGAAGCCAGGCCAGCTCCAAGCCACCTGCAGGAGTCTGCAATTCGGCCTGCCTGCCTGGCTCAGCATCTCTCTCCCTTCTACCCTCCAGGAAGGATTTGCACCCCCTGAGGATGATGAGATTGAGGAACACCAACAGGAAGACCAGGACGAGTACTGAGGGCGGCCCCAGCCCTGGCTGACTGCAAGGCTTCCATGCCTCCCCACCCCGCTCCCACCCCCACATTACACTCCTTTCCTGACAGCCAGTCGGCCGGTGCTTTATGTCAGTGCCGTGGCATTGGGGAGCCTGGCGAGCAGGGCTTGGGGGGACGGGGCAAGTGAAGCAGGCACAGGCCCAGTGGGTGGGACCCCTGCCCACTCCCCACTCCCCACCCCTATTTATTTCCGTTGTCTCTATGCTGTGTCGGCCAACACTCCCCCAGGGTGCCGCAGCCACCCGCCCCAGCCAGCCACCCGCTCCCCTGACAGCCAGCAGCTGTATATTTGACAAAGTCATTGGTATATTTTTACTTACTGGATTTTCCTTGCACTTTACCTGTTCTTTTCCCAGGGCTGGCAGCACGGGCTCCGGGGCAGCGTGCCTGGCTTGGCTTCCCTTCCCCCGTTGCCAGGGCCGTGACTGAACTCACCGATTCTTATTTATTTTGTCTTTTGACTTCCCAGTAGTTGAGGGAAAGGCTGATGTCAGGAGCGGGATGGGGGACTGAGGAGGGGGTACCTAAGGCCCTGGTGGTCAGGGAGAGGGAGGGGAGCATGTGAGGGATGAAAACAACCTCCTGGCACCAGGCTCACCCACCCTTGGCCCCCTGCCCCCAGCACCACAGCCCGGCACTGCCCTGAGGCTCCCAGCCACTCCCCTGCAGCTTGGTTCATACCACACAGACTCTGCCCGGACCTCCTGTACGTCTGCCTTTTCTCTGCCCGCCTCCCTGTCCCCAGCCCTTCGGGCCACCCAGCCTGCATATGTGTTCACTTTTATTTAAATAAACTTGTGTGGTAAAAGTCCATACTATGTCTCCCTCAACTGAGTCACAGCCTGGGTCTCAGTGCTTTTCTCTGAGCGACTCCCTCCCCAGAGGTGATATCCATGGGGCACAGCACCACTGCCATCCTCCCTCAGGCCCAGAAAGCATCACTGGCTTAGCCTCAGAGCCCAGCTCTGACCCAGCCCCCATCTCCCAACGCTGGTACCAGGGCCCTAAGGGAAGGCACGGAGGCCTGAACTCCCGCTCCCTGAAGAGGAACAGAATTCAGGACCATGGCTGTGAGAGTGGGCAACCCAGTCAAGCAGCTGTGGGGTGGCAGGGGGGCCTGGCTGAGAGGTGCCTTGTTTCTGCCCCTTTGGGCCAGTATGACTGCATACTGTCTGCCACCCTTGTCAAAGTCCACACACCCAACATCAGTGATCCATATGGGGACAAGGGCTCACATGATGGAGCTGAGTGGGTTACAAAGAGCAAGGGCTCTAAGCACTGAAGCCCAGGAGGAAAGCAGTGTCCAAGGGGTTCCTTCCACAGAACAGGCTCTCGTGGGAGCCAGGAGCTGGAAACTGTCATATCATGTTTGCACAGCCCTGCATTCCCGGTGCATGCCAGCCAAGGGCCATGATAACCAGTGTCCTGAAGGTCCAACAGGGACCAAGGGCACTTAGCTGAAAGTGGGTACCAGGCCCGTTTAAACAGAGCCTTGGTTGCCCTTTAGAACAGCCCCTTGTTTACAGGGGAAAGGACTGAGACCTATATGTGACATGATTTGCTCAAGGTGGTAAAAACTTGGGCTAGAATTGAGACCTCCTGACTCACTGTTCTGTGCTCATCCCCAAAGACCACACAGGTGTGACTTCCAGAACTGTCCTCTAGCTTCTGACCAGCCTTGGTAGGTGTTCTTCACCATCCTGAGTGTGCCCAAGACACTGCTGGGATGTTGTTTCTTCCATGGCCCTGCTCCAAGACCCTCCTGCCAGACCACCAGCATTTCTCCAGGGACTCCAGTTAGAAACCTGAAATAAGCAAACCATGTCCATTCCTCATTCACTTCACCTTCTCCATTTGACTCCCACTCCCACATATAGAGACTTCTAAATTTATTCTCCTTATTCCCCTGTTTTTCTCCTCCAAGTTCCTAGCCTGCTTTTATTTCTTTATGATTAAAATTATGATTTTATCTTAGCGATTTTTAATTCTTCTGCCTAATTTTAAAGGCTATTCCAGGTAGATACAGTAAAAGGAGAAGGTAGTTTCTCTGTGATGCCCAGTGTTCATCTTCAGGCTGGGACCTCACCCTGATGGTTAAGTGGGTGTGGTGGGCAGAATAACGCCTCCCTCCAAAGATGTCCACATTATAATCCCCAGAACCTGTGGATATGTTAGGTTATTAATACATGGCAAAGGGGAATTAACATGCAGATGGAATTAAATCACTAATCTGCTGATTTTAAAATAAGGAGGATATCCTGGATTATCCAGATGGGTCCAGTTTAATTGCCAAGAGACCATAAAATTGGGATGGGCGGGGCAAGAGATCAGAGTGATGCAATATGAGGAGGACTTGACCCATCACTGCTGGCTTTGAAGATGGAAGGGAGATATGAGCGAAGGAATTTGGTCAGCCTCCAGAGGCTGGGAGAGGTAAGGAAACAGGTTCTCTCCTAGAGTCTCCAGAACGGACCACTGCCCTATAGATACCATATATATTTTACCCCAGTGAGACCCTGACAGACTTTCGCCTTCTAAAGCTATGAGACAAGAAGTTTGTGTTGTGTTAAGCCATCAAGTTTGTGGCAATTTCTTATAGCAGCAATAGGAAACCAATACAGTAGGTCAACCTGCTTCAGTGAGCTCACTGTTCTTGTCCCCACACCAGACACCCACCCATCCTCTTTGACCCAGTCTTTTTTAACTTTTTAAAATTTTGTATTGGGGTATAGCCAATTAACAATGTTGTGATAGTTTCAGGCGAACACTGAAGAAACTCAGCCATACATATACATGTATCCATTCTCCCCCAGACTCTCCTCCCATTCAGGCTGCCACATAACATTGAGCAGAGTTCCATGTGCTATACAGCAGCTTCTTGTTGGTTATCCATTTAAAATATAGCAGTGTGTACATGTCCATCCCAAACTTGACCCAGTCTTTTGATTCTTCCCCCTTTCCCCATGGGTACCTGCCCAAGCCCACCCTTCATGGCTAGTGTCTAAGGTTGCTCTTTGAAGACCTAGAGTCAAGGATGTAAAGCCACTGCCTCCTCCCCAAACTCTGGAACATTTAAGACGGTGAATTACAATTTTCTGCTTCGTCTGTCCCCCACACAGGTTTCCCGAGTTCCTCTCAAGCAATTGAGGTGTGTCCTCTAGCTCCCACCTACCACTGTGCTAAGTGCTTATTAGGTAGAGAAAGGACTTAGGAAATGCTACTGGATAAGTAAGTGAATGACTTCTATCCCCTAGGTGCCAAGGTACAATAGATGACCTGCTGGACTATTCTAAGGAAATAAAGCCCTTCCCCACCCTTCTCTATATTTCTACCATGGAACACCCCCTTCTTTGCCTCTATGGAAAGCCCTTTCTGTTTCTCTTCCAAAATCAGTGTCGCTTTTGTGACCATACATGTAACACAGAAGAGGTAGAACAAAGAGAAGACAGTGTCTGAGGAGAGCTAAACCAATTATGTGAAAAAAAATGTATTAATGATCATCTCAAACATAGTCCTGGGCAAAAGCACTTCATTTCAGACCCTTTGACCTGAGGCAAAGTCAGCGATGGTCAGGCCTGCAGGAGCTGGAGGGCAGGCAGAAGGAAGCAGCAAGAGGTGGTTATCTCCTACTTTCTGCCTCCAGCCCACCCCATCCTTTACCTGTCCCCACTTACCTTTCCAAAAGTAGGTATGCCATTTTCCTACTGGCTTCCCACGATCTGCAGGATGAAGTCAAAATTTAACAGGCAAAGACCTTGGTATATGGGCTCAGTTCCCTTTCCAACCACAAAACTTCCAAAATCCATGAAGCACTGTCACATTGAACTACTTCCAGTCTCCCAGACTTGCCCCACTGTGTCACACCTTTGTAGGCCTTTGCTTATATAAGTTCACACATCTGGCCTGTTCTCTCCACTTGCCCTAATCCCCAACCAATGACTATTTGCCCATTCCTCAGGACACATTTCCAGTGTCATCTCCTTTAGGAAGCCTTCTCTAATCTCCTTCCTAAAGGAATTCATCACTCCCTAAACTATTCATCCTGTGGGAAGTTGAACTCTAGTTCTTACTATAAAGGCTTGCCTGGCCTGTTCCTCAGTATGGCAGGTATGAATCTCATAGTCAAATGTGGGAGTGTGCATGAAATAGTGAGCTTTCCATGTGGTACTAGTGGTAAAAAGAACCATCCTGTCAATGCAGGAGACTTAAGAGATGCAGGTTTGATCCCTGGGTTGGGAAGATCTCCTGGAGGAGGGCAATTCACTCCAGTATTTTTGCCTGGAGAATCCCATGGACAGAGGAACCTGGCAGGTTACAGTCCATAGGGTCACATGAAGTCGAATAGGACTGAAAAAAATTGGCATGGCAGGGCATATGAAATAGCACATTTCCTTAGCCATGATAAATCACTTCTAGTTCACCTTCACTCATACTCCCCTGCCGGGATGCTTCCAGTTTTGAGGTCTCAAACGATACAACAAGCATGGCCCGAGGGACCTCCAGAGAGAGGGGACGTCTGAGCAGGTCACCTGCTTAAGTGGTTCCTCAGGTCTTCCATTCTTGATCGCTTCCCTGCCACACCTGGGACTTGGGCCTGACTTCTGTGGAGGGAGTCAGAGCCTTTTCTTTCCCACTTGCCTGCAAGGGGAAACTCAGCGCTGGCTATCCCAGGGCCACAGACTTTTCTCTGCCTCCTTTCTAAGGACTCTCAGCTCTACTCTTTCTGCCCCACCCCACCCCAAACACTGCCTCAAGGCGGGAATCCTCAAGCTCCATCACCCTTCCTTGTTCCTTCACAATAGCTTTTTTTTTTTTTTTTTTTTATAGCTCGTTAAACTCAAAGTTTAATCATTAGCAACAGAAAAACTAGCACTTTCCTGGAAGGAAGGGAGCATTTTATCTACAAACTCTCCCAGGAGCTGAGAATTGTTATTTTCATTCCGTCCTTCTTGCACAGCTAGAACGGAAAGAAAACCAGAAACAGTTAAATTTTTACCAAGTCACCCAATACTTCCACGTTCAGTTCAGTTCAGTCGCTCAGTCGTGTCCGACTCTTTGCGACCCCATGAACCGCAGCACGCCAGGCCCCCCTGTCCATCACCAACTCCCGGAGTTCACCCAAACTCATGTCCACTGAGTCGGTGATGCCATCCAACCATCTCATCCTCTTGTCGTCCCCGTCTCCTCATGCCCTCAACTTTCCCAGCATCAGGGTCTTTTCCAATGAGTCAGCTCTTTGCATCAGGTGGTCAAACTATTGGAAGTTCCAGCTTCAGCATCAATCCTTCCAATGAACACCCAGGACTGCTCTCCTTTAGGATGGACTGGTTGGCTCAATAAAAGTTGTCCGAAAGCAGTAGCCTCTCATCTCAACATCTTTTGCTTGGCTGGTTTTGTTTTGTTTTGTTTTGTTTTGTTGGCTGAGAAAGGCTCCTGACGCCGCGCCGAACCCCAGCGTGGAAGAACCCGACAAACATCAAAGACTACAAGTCCCAAGCTTCCTTGCGGGTGGCGTCACGCGCCGCGAGGCCCTGAGAGGAGACGTGGCAGAGCGCGGCGCGTCCGCACCGGACCGGAAAGCTCGGGGAGGCGGCCGTGGCGGGAGGGTCGGAGCCATGGCGGCCAAGACGGCGGGTGGTGGGCACTGGGAGGTGGTGAAGAAGGGGCGGCGGCCTGGGGCCGGCGGCAGTGGTAAAGGCGGCGGAGGGGACCGCCGGGCGCTCGGGGAGGCGAATGGAGTGTGGAAGTACGACCTGACCCGTGAGTACCCACCCGGCCCGCCGCCCCCTGTAGCCCTCGCCCGGCCCCGGGTCTGCCCCCCACCTACCCACCCGGCGTGATAGCGAGCAGCTACCGGGGCCCAGAGGGTCCAAACAGCCCTGGGCTCCTGGAGTCGCGAGCTCTCCTGCCAATCGGTACCTTCCAGTTCAGCCGGCGCTCCCCTGGCGTTTCTCTTGACCCTCACAAGAGGTAGACAGCGCGAGGGAGGTTGCCGTCCTGGCCATTCACATGAGTAAACTGAGGCCCAGCGAAGTTAGACGCCTTCCCCAAGATCACTTGTTAGAGGGGACCGGGATTCCGGTCTTCGGACGCTCAGCAGACAGCACATACTACCTGCCAGCTGTTCCCGGGCCCTATAGCCTGGCCTTGCCGGGCAGGTGTCCGAGAGCTGCAGAGGGGCAGTCTGGTTCATCATACACTGGGCCCCAGCCTTAAGTAACCAGCTTGTATGGGGTGGGCGTGGGGACCGGGACGCTCATGAGGCCCGGCAGTGGGAGAAAATGATCCACCACACACATCTCCACACCCATCAAGTGTTATTCCAAGAGGTGCCTGTTTCCTCAAAGCCTCCTGGAGGAGCAGAGAAAGCTTGCCACTTGTTGATTATAGAGTTGTCACATCAGAACCAAGAGGAACTGGGGTAGAACCAAAATGGGAAAACCTTGATCTCCCAGACTGGTAGCCACTTAACAAAGAAGCCAGCCTTCTTTGTTGGACACCACCCACTCACCCAATTTTCCCATACTCTTGATTTCCTAATAAAGAAATGGCTCGTCTCTGAAAAAGCACATGAACTCAAGAGTTGTGGTAGCTGAAAGAAGCCACCAGGAGGGCTCCTTAAGTAGGATGCAAGACAGGGCTTTGAGGCAGGCTCCTCCCTGATTAATTAAGTGCCAGTGTGTGGGGAGGGACCACTATTTCTGTGAGGCCCTCCTGATTCAGGGCTGCCCCCCTTTCTCTGCCTGTCATTACCCCAGCTCCAATCCAGACGACAAGCACCCTGTATGAGCGGGGCTTTGAGAAAATCATGAAGCGGCAGAATAAGGAGCAGGTTCCACCTCCTGCTGTGGAACCTAAGAAACCGGGGAACAAGAAGCAGGCTAAGAAGGTGGCGACCCTCACCAACCAGAACCAGAAGCAGGGCCGCTTTCGCAGCCTGGAGGAGGCACTGAAAGCTGTGAGTGTGCCGAGACTTTAGGCAGGGGAAGAATGAGGACCCGAGGAGTAGAGAGGATGAAAGAAGTGGGACAGGGACGGGCTGCTGAGGGACCTGTGGGATGAGGGACACTGCTGACTGAGAGGAGGCCTTCAGGAAAAGATGGAAACCCAAAGGGATGCAATGTCTGCACTTAGGATAGAGAGGGAATGAGTTTATAGAGAACCATAGATTAGTGAGAGGAAAACCTTGAAAATCCAGAGATACACAGAGGGTTTAGAAAAATGGCTTGTGGTTCCTCCCGCCAAGGAAGGAGTGATCTTTCACTTTCCATCTTGTCTTCTGTTTTACCCCTTGAACAAGTGAGGGGCCCAAGAGTATTAGTTCTTGAGATCAGCAGTTACAACGGTCTTGTTCTCTAGTTCCTGAAGATCTGGATGCAGCAAAAGTATGGCATTCCACATACTTGCATCGAAAAGCAGAAACCCTTTGTTTTTCCTGCCACCACCTAGTTCAACTATTTCCCCACTTCTTCCCCATTACTCTACACCCACAACTCACCATGAGGGACCTATGTTCCTGGCAGCTGGACCTGGCAGCTCTGCAGAAGGAACTGGACAAGAGCCAGAGCGTGTTCTCTGGGAACCCATCCGTGTGGTTGAAGGACCTGGCCAGCTATCTCAACTACAAGCTCCAAGTACCTCCAAGTGAACCCACACTTAGTCAGCATCCTCACGGTTAGTTCTCCAGACGAGCTGAAGAAAATTCTGAAAGGGCTGTATGTAAGCGCATTACTTAGTAACTGAGCCCCATGCCCCCCACTGCCCTGACTTACTTGGGTGATTTGAGCTGTCCTCAGATTAGCATGGCTTCAAAGTTTCTGGGCCTCATTGAAATAGGGGGGATGCCAGCCACAGTGCAGTGACCTCTGCCTTCACTTACAGTTCTCAGGAAGCAAAGCAGAGGCCTCAGAGCTAGCAGAGGCTTCTGGTGCTAGCTCTTATGTGAGGCCTATCGACCCCAGATTATCCCTACAGCCTGGTGAGCCGGGAGCTGCGTGGCATCATCCGAGGGCTACTGGCGAAGGCTGCAGGATCCCTGGAGCTCTTTTTCGACCACTGTCTATTCACCATGCTACAAGAACTGGATAAGACTCCAGGTGAGAGGGTCCCGTGAGAATTAGGCCAGTCCCATCTTGGGAACCTATCCCCCTTTCCTGCTTCTAGAGTAACTGAAGAGGTTCTGTTTTAGCAGAGGAACATGCTAATTCCAGCACTCTTGGAAAAGAAGGCGGATGCTAGGATTCCCTGGGCCTGGGTTCTGGGCTCTCAGCTGTTGAAAGGGAGATTACAGGTTTGGGGTGCTGATTAGTACATGTGGGTCTGAGAATGTGTATCTCCAGGGGAGTCACTGCATGGTTACCGCATCTGTATCCAGGCCATTCTGCAAGACAAGCCCAAGATTGTCACCACGAACCTAGGCAAGGTGAGCTCAGGGTTGTGATGGGGCCATCGGGAGGCCAGGACTGGGGAGACTGGGCAGAATCGACTCTGTTGAACCCAATTAAGGGATGCGGGAGGTCCTGTAAGACAAGTAGTAGTAGCTAACGCCGTTAGCACTATGTATATATATGAGGTAGGTGCTGCTATTCCCATTTCGTAGATGAGAAGATTGAGCCACAGAGGGGGTCAGTTACTTTGTAGAGTTGGTCAACTAGTACGTGATAAGTGTGAGTGAAGACCAGAGCCTGGTGCCAGAGCCTGTGCTCTGAGTCACTTCACCACACTACCACACTGCTCCCTTGTCCTCTCCCAGTTGAATTCTGTCTTACTCCTTGGCTTTGGGGGTGCTCCTGGTGCTTTGCCCTTTCCCAACCTGCCTCCCTCACTGGTCTCCCCAGTTCCTGGAACTGCTGAGGTCCCACCAGAGCCGACCAGCCAAGTGTCTGACCATCATGTGGGCCCTGGGTCAAGCAGGTTTTACCAACCTCACTGAGGGACTGAGAGGTAAAAGAAAGAGGTTTTGGAGCTGGAAGTTCCTCTTTAATGTCCCCAGTGGGTCCAGGCTTGAGGCTTCCTCCCTGACCTTTGTCTCCACAGTGTGGCTGGGGATTATGCTACCTGTGCTGGGCATCAAGTCTCTGTCTCCCTTCGCCATTGCATACCTGGACCGGCTGCTTCTGTGAGTAATAGGGGGTGAAGGGAAGCAGCAGGCCCGGGGTGTTTTTAGGTAGCTATTTCAAACAAAATGGGATGCTGTGATCCTGGTTTCCATAGATGTGAAGGAGCATCAGGACCAGTTCCTCCCAAGTCAGAAAGTGGTGGTGAAGAAGGAAAGGAAGGGAGCAAGGAAGTGGGGCGGGGGGTTGGGGGGTGGAATGGAGTGGAGTTTATGCCCTTTTTCTTAGATGTTCTTAGCTGGGACTGTAGCCAGGGCAGGTGTTCCCCAACAAGCCTGTTTCTTTCCTCCCCAACAGGATGCACCCCAACCTCACCAAGGGCTTTGGCATGATTGGCCCCAAGGACCTCTTCCCACTTCTGGACTTCGCCTATATGCCCAACAACTCCTTGACTTCCAGGTAGGACTGTCCCGGGACACAACCTGCTGTGAAGGACCCCAGCAGAGGGTTAGGACACTGTATCTGTCCCTTCACCTCCCACCACCCTCAGTCGAAGATTATCAACCCTCACGTTCACGGGATCATCGAATCCCTGGAAGAATTACATGGGCCCTCAACGGTGATTGGCCTGTGGGCATTTTCTGGGCAGGGGACCCGTGACTCTGAGCAGATTTTCCAAGATGTCTCTGAGTCTAGAAAATGCAGAACCATTACAAGGCCCTTCATGACCACCACCTTGGGCAGGGTGTGAACTTTGCAGCAGGTACAAGTGACACAGCACACAAAGCCAGTTAGAGTCTATGCTCAGCTCTCCTCTCAACTCCCTCCACAGCCTGCAGGAGCAGCTGTGCCAGCTGTACCCACGACTGAAGGTGCTGGCATTTGGGGCAAAGCCGGAATCCACGCTACATACCTACTTCCCCTCCTTCCTGTCCAGAGCCACCCCTAGCTGCCCTCCGGAGATGAAGAGAGAGGTGAGGAACTGGTGGGAGGTGCCTTTCTTCTTTCTGGGGTGTGTTGGGAGGTCCCTATCTGCTGACAGGCTCTGCCACTGGGAGCCTGTTTTCTCCCCTCTCTGCCCCGCCTCCCCAGCTTGGTCCCAATAGCCCACTGCTGGCTCCCTTATGCTTCACCCTCAGAAGAATGGCGCTGAAAAGGCAGCCTGTTCAGATCTGACCAGTCTCTCATGGTCCCTTGCAGACAAGTGAATTTTGATCTCAGGAGCCCCTTCCTCCCCTTTACAGCCTCTTGGAGATTTTGAGGGTATGGGCACAATTTCTCTGCCCTTCAGGGTGGAGTGCTGCCTGGGGGGCCCCACTTGGCACTAACTAGGAGGGGGAGTTAACTCTTAGCACTCCCCACCATAGCCCGGGGCCCAGCGGTCTCTCCCTTCTATCTCCTGTGCAGCTCCTGAGAAGCCTGACTGAGTGCCTGATGGTGGACCCGCTCAGCACCAGCGTCTGGCGGCAGCTCTATCCCAAGCACCTGTCACAGTCCAGGCAGGTTGGGGGGTGGGGGTCACCTGCCTCCAATTTACACAGAGAAACCTTAATTCACTCTTCATGATGTGTCCTGTCCGAAAGCAGAAGGGGGATGTTTGTCACTGTTGTTCAGGCTCATACCTGTGGGAGCTTTGCAGGGAGGCTTCCAGGAAGCTGCTCCTCTGTGAGGGTGGGGGACGGGGCATGGAGGGTCTTTCAGCCTGAAGGAGCTGGGGCCCAGGGACGACGGGAGGGGCCAGGTAGGCCTCCTGATGGGAAAGGATTGTGCTTTCCTCACAGCCTGCTGCTGGAGCACCTGCTCAGGTCCTGGGAGCGGATTCCCAAGAAGGTGAGGAGCTGGGGAGACATGGCAGGCTGAGTTCTGGGTTCGTACCCTCCGCCACTGGCCCCACTTTCTGGGAAGGCGCTCCATTAGCACTTCTGGTGTGGAATGCGAAGCAGAATGGAGGCTCAGGGTTCCGTCTTGGGCTAAATCTTAATGTTCTCAGCCTAGACTTTTCTTACTCTGCAGACACAGAAGTCATTGCAAGAAACCATTCAGTCCTTCAAGCTTACCAACCAGGATCTGCTGAGGAAGGGCAGCGGTAGCAGTCAGGATGTCGTCACCTGTGACTTGGCCTGCAAGGTGCCAGTGCCCAGCCCACTGCCCTTGCCTCCCACCACCTTCCACACACTGTTCTCCTCGCAGTCTCTGCACACCCTGAGTTGGACCTGTATAACATTCCTGTCCCACCTGCTGCTGGAGCCCCCACCACCTCTGGGGTAGTGTGAGGGCTGGATCCTCTCTGTGGAAGGCCTAGCTTGAGGGAGGCCTGCCTTAGGAGGCCAGAGCCAGCCCCTCTCCCTTCTGACCACTGCTCCCTGCCCCTTCTCCTTCTAGAGTCTATTGCAGCAGGCTCGGGGCTTCCGGCTGCCCTGGGCACGGCTACTCCTGTTGGTGCTGGTCTTTGCTGTAGGTTTCCTGTGCCATGACTTCCGGTCACACAGCTCTTTCCAGGGTAAGCAGGAATTGGCTGGCAAAGGAGATAGCCAGGGGCTTTTTCTGGGGACACGGAGCTGGACGTACCACTCCCCATCCCCACACACATTCCAGAACACATTTTCTGACAGATGTGCTTTGCATAATAGAAATGCTTGCATATTCATGGTCTCATTTGAGTAGTGTTATCTTGTCTTTAATTTCTGAGGAAATTGAGGCTCAGAAAGATTTACCAGTTAGCATAAGATCACAGCTAGGAAGTAGAAAGGCTGACCCTCAAACCCGAGGTTTCCTGATGCCCAAGTCCACGGCTCCACCTGGCTGCGCCCTTCTTGCTCCCCTGGCCTGCATCCCTCCCTCCACACGTGCTCCAGAGCAGACTGAAGCCGGCTCTGTGACCCTGTGAGCATGTCCAGTTCTGCCCCATCCCTCACTAGGCCTGCTCTGGGGCCTGTAGTGCCTGCCTCCCCGGTCCCTGCCCCGCTCACCTCCCCACTCACCTGAGGCCCCCTCTCCGCAGCCTCCCTTTCTGGCCGGCTGCTTCAGTCATCTGGTGTCTTGCCTGCTGGCCAACAGGCATGCACCAAAATCTACTCCTACAGCCTGCAGGGCTACAGGTGAGAACTCCAGGGGTGGGGGTGGGGGGACCTAGTGGGGAGAGGGAGGCGTGGGAGTGAGAGGGCTTGCCTGTTCAGGGTGGTGATGGCATTGACAATCAATGGGAAGCTGCTGTGGTTTTCCTTTCCCAAGGCCTCCCTTGCCCCAGCTGTTCTTAGGCCAACCTGCTGGGGAGACTCAAGACACCTTCTTCCTCCCCTGTGTCTCCCCTACAGCTGGCTGGAGGAGACATTGCCAGCCTGGGGCTCCCACCTGCTGACCGTGGTGAGGCCTGGCTTGCAGCTGGCCTGGGCCCACACGAATGCCACCATCGGCTTCCTTTCTGGCCACTGTGCCTCACACCTTGCCTGGTTTGGTGACAGCCTCGTCAGCCTCTTCCAGAGGGTAAGCCAGAGACAGGGAGGTCAGAGAAGGCTGGTCTCGCTGGATGGCTGTGTTCTTGGGAAGGTGCAGCCCCACGTGGACTGCCTTCCCTGTCGTTCTGAGACGTCCATTCTTCACTGTCCAGCTACAGACCCAGCTCCCTGACGCCCTGAACCAGCTGCTCCATTCTCTGAGGGAGCTGCTCCTGTTTCTTTACCACAGCATCCTGCTGCCCACGTGGCACATGCTGCTTGAGGCCCTGGCCCAGATCCAAGAGCACTGCCACGAGGCATGCAGGTGAGGCCCTACCCCAGGGCTCCAGTAGGAGGCCGTGGCCCCAGGCCCTTTCTCCAGGGACACAGCTCCCCTTTCGGTTTTCTTGCTCTGTCCTGTCCCCTGCACATCCCTTGGGCACTTTTGAGATCCGTGTTGTGAGTCTGAGCTACAGCTCTTTGACTTGACACAGCTGCACATCACAACTTCCCAACCCCCAAAATGTCTTCTTTCCTCCCAGAGGCGAGGTGACTTGGGACTGCGTGAAGACACAGCTCAGTGAGGCTGCCCACTGGACCTGGCTCAGCCTACAGGACACCACAGTGGCTTTCTTGGACTGGGCACTTGCCATGATATCCCAGCAGTAGGCCCTGCCTCCCTGGCCGCTGGGCTCTGTCTGGAGCAGACCATTGGAGACTGCTGGGGCAGAGAGCAGCAGTTCTACAGGGGCGTCTTTGTTACTTGGTGCCTGAGTTCTGTCTCCTCAGCAAGTGGTGGGCTGCCGTTGCCTCAGTTCTTCCGCTTTTGTGGCAGCGAGCCCAGAGGTATCTCAGCCTCCGACCCACGACTCCACTGACCACTGCTCTGCCCGACTGCACATGGCTCCCAGCCTCTGTCCTTGGGCCTGGTAGCCTCTCTTGTCTCTGCTCTCCACTTCCTTCTGTCTCATTCTTGAAGCCTCAAACAGCTCATCTTGAAAAGGTGGACTCCAGCAAATGGCTTCTGCATTCTTCTGACAGTTGATTCCTGCTCCCAGACCTTAACCACAGCAGAAAAAAGAAAGGGACTTCTAGAAGAATCTAGAAGAATGTAGCACCACAGTGGGCGGCAACAACTTTGTCTCTCCCCACAGTCTGGGTGTGGCTGTCCGTGGACATGGAGGCCTGGGTGGAGAGGCCTCTCACCTCAAAATGTTCAACTTAGGTCCTTCAAGGCTCCTACTGGCCCTGCCATCATGGTCCTTCACCCTTGCTCTCTGTCCCCCTTCAGTGCTGGGGGGTCTCGACCTCCGTATTCAGCCCTTCTCCACTGCCCACCCCTGTCATCTATCTGGAGAGCAGAGCCCAGGTCATCATGTGCCTCAGGCCCAGGAAACCATCCAGCAACCTGTTAAGACAGGACACAGTATGTGGTTTGTGGGTATGCCCACTTGATGGAAATAAAGGACACAGATTTGATTTCTAGTTTTCCTCTGTACCTCTTCATACAGAAATTTCTACAGTTATGGACAAGACGACAAAATGTGAGCTCCTGCACATTCTTTGGCCCCCTGCCCTCCCAAAGGTTGTAGCCTCTGGCCACAGTTGAGCTTCTGGCAAGAAAAGCCTGCTTCCATCATTCTGAAGTTTGGCCTGTCAAGCGTTCTAGACACCCTACTTGCTCACTATGGTCTCACTTGTCCTTGTGATTCATGTCCCAAGATTGCCTTGGTAGCTTGAGGATTATATGCCTGGAAAAGACAGGGAGAGTGTCCTAGAGGAATTCTTGGCCAGCAATCAGAGGATGTCTCCTTCCTTGCCAGGACCTTCATTTATTAATTGGTTCATTTTATAGGCAATGAGTGAAAGATTCAGAACTCCAAGAGACATATGAGTCAAGGGTTTATCACCCATGTCCCTTTTAATTTTTGACTTGAGACTATAATAAGTCAGCTAACTGTATGGGATTTTCAGCTCTCACCTCAAGTTTCTTTCCTTGAGTGTTTAAAGAATATAAACAGTACTAGAGGTGCACCGCCCACTTCAGCGTCCATGGGCTGAGTTCTGTTTCTATCACAAACACCTGAGATGACTAGCAGGGGTGATGGCCAGCTGCCACTTTCCCTTTCACAGGCAGCCCTGAGGTGCTGCCTCCATTTTTCAGCCCCAGGATTATAAAGTAGCAAGCATAGCAAAATCTTGACACAAAGTGAGGTCATGAGGACTGTAACATCTCCCTTTCCTTATTAGGATGTAAATTACCACACTGGGCAGAAGCTGCTTTTGTAGTAGCAGTCAGCCATGACCATTTTTTCCCAGGAAAAAGAAACCCCACCTCACAAAGGACCAAAGTGTAGGCCTGCTAGCAGGACTGTCCACAGGTCTCCAGACATGTTCCATTGCTTCAGTTCTCTACCTAAAATCAGTTACAGATGGGTTCAATTCTTGAGTGAATCCTAGTAACTGGCCTGAATTCAAGGCAAATTGAAGAAAATGAGCTGGTATGAGCTTGGGTTGGCACCAGCGCAGGGCCAGTAGAATGGTGACACTGCCCTACAATGACATCAAGTCCAACCAAGGCTGCCGGACTGGACTTGCGATCCAGCGACTCAGAATCCCACTTACAAGTGCTTCCTTGGTTTCTAACATGTATACTACTACCTTAATGGGTTCATCTAATTTCTAACATGTAATCCTGGGATGCAACATTTTTCTTTAACTCAGCTTAACTGGGGTCTCCACAGCCTCTCACAGGGACACTACTGACACCTCAAGTGGCATTATTTGATAGATACCTGATACTGGAATGGTCAGAATGTTTCCTCTACCCACTGCACCTGCTATCCATGAAAGCTAGATCAGACATGTAGATATTTCACTTTAGCACAACTCTACAGGAATCCAAGCTGAGCCAGTTAGCTGAACCAGTATAGACTGGTGGAGCACGCTGACGCTGACAGGCAGGCAGTCACACGACTGGTGTTACTGGATGTTGACTGACATCTTGAAGGTCACTTCTAGACACTACTTTTCACACACAGCTGGAGTTCTACAGATAACACATCATGTAACTGAAGGGCAGTTTGAGTATTATCTCTTACTAGCTTTAGTTACTAGTTTTTGTACGGACTTGCATATTATATCTCAACACTTCTCTCCATTTTTTTGAGTCTCAATGCATATTTTTGGTTTCCTTTGGCTGCTTGTATCCTGTCTACAGCTTCAGCTTTAGAGCAGGGTGGGTGGAGGGGGAGCCTGTCTTAATATGGATAGATAATGTTGCTGGACTCATGCCTGTAGCGTTGCCAGCCTGTTCCCAAATGCCATCATTCTCAGAATGGAGCATTTCCCACAGAGACAGGCATACCTGCTCTGCCTTATTCCAGAGTGACCCAGTTGTCAATTATACAGATATTTCAATGGTTGGATGACCTCTGAGCATTTTAATATGTCTTATCTCTCCTGAAGGAGTTTGGATTTAAGTGAACACTTAAAAGTGATGAATTCGTTTTCTAATCGCCTTCCTGGTTCTGCTCCCAAAAGGACTTGAGGGTACAAAGGACCTTGCTTTTCTCTATCTGGTGTTCCATTCTTTTTTTTTTTTTTTTCATTTATTTTTATTAGTTGGTGGTGTTCCATTCTTAACCAGTGGTTTCATTGCCCAGACCTGAGGTATAAGAAAGAATTTTCACCATTCAGTGTATGAGCAAATACCTATTGAATATTTTACCTATTAGAATTAGGAGTTGAGAAATGTTGGCTATGCCTCAGTATAATATTTTTACTATTTTAGTACACAAGTTATTAATTTTTAATAGATTTTTTTACAGCAGTTTTAAGTTCACATCAAAATTCAGCAAAAAGCACCATATTGTTGCCCCTGCACTTCAGTTTCCCCCACTGTCAACATCAGTGAACCTATACTGACACATCACTATCACCTAACACTATCACCTGAAGTCTGTAGTTTACCTTAATGATACTTTGTATGATTTAAATCTTTTTAAATTTATTAAGACATTACCTAATATGTGGGCTACCCTAGAGAATATTCCATGTACTCTTGAGAAGAATATGTATTCTGCTGTTGTTGGAGGGAATGGTCTGATTGGTAGGCTGGTCAAAGCCTCTGGTGCCTTATTGAGCTTATAATAAACACATTATTGAATTATGAATTATGAATTCATAATTCACATTATGAATTATTGAATGCAATTACAAATCAGTAAGAAAAGCACTAAGCAACAATAAAAATATGATGAAAGATACTGTATAAAAGAAATGCAAATGAACAATAGACTTGGGAGGAAAAGTCCATTTCACTGCCAAAGAGATGCAAATTTAAAATAAGATACCACTTATTTTTGCCTATCATGTTGACAAAAAAATTTTTTTAAGTGATTTACTCAGTGAATGCTATGATAGAAACTGGTATAATGTTTCTAGGAAGTAATTTAGTAACACTTGTCAAATGCCTATAAAGTTTAATATTACTTTACCAAGTAGTTCCACTCCTACAAATATATTCTAGAAGATAGAGAAGTAAACAGAAATGTGAACAAAGATTTACATATAACAACATTTATTGTAGCAGTATTAATCATGAAAATTTTGGATATAAACTGTCCAACAATAAGATGAATATTTCAATAAATTTTGGTTAAAAGCAGATGAGAAATGGCTAGTCAAAGGGTGATTTAAAAAACTTTAATGAAAGAAAATTGCTTATTATTAATTGAGCTCAACTTATTGAAACGTGGGCTACAATGAAAAATACAGAAAATAATTGTTGACAAGGATGTGATGAAATTGGCACCCTCTTACATTGGTGGTGGGAATGTAAAATTGTTCAACAGTTGTGGAAAACAGTTTGGCAGTTCCTCAAAGAGTTAAACATACAAATAGCATAAAACTCAGCATTCCATTCCTGAGTGTTCCCAAGACAAATGAAAACATACATCCACACAGAAACTTGTACACAAATGTTTGTAGCACTATGATTCATAAAAGCCAAAAGGTGGGAAAAGACATAAACAGAAGAATGGACACTCAAAACATGAGTGAAAGAAATCAAGCACGAAAGGTCACATATTTTATTGTTTTGTGTGAAATCTCCAGAATAAGGTAAATCCGTGGAGACAGAAAGCCAATTAGTCGTTGCCAGGGGTTGGGTGAAATGCGGATGGGAGTATTTACTTTCAGGGTTAACGGGTGTTCTTCCAGAGTGAGAAAAAAAGTTTCTCAACCAGAGAGAGGCTGAACAACTATGTTGCACAACACTATGAATGTACTAAACATCACTGAATTGTTCATACTTTAAAATAGTTAATTATATGTTATGTGAATTTTGCTCAAAAACAAAAGCCCTAAACAACATAATTAAACACATTCTGCTTTCCGACCCTACCTTCCCGCAAGAAAGAGAGCGTGGTAAACACCTCTCCAAGAAAACCACCCCGAGCTAATGTTCTTTGACACAATGGTAGGTAGCGTTTGCAGCAGCAGAATGAAGTTAAATCAATGGGAAGATGTTAACCTGTTTTGTGGATGCCCACAGGCATCCCGGTGTGCGTTCGGTAACAACACAAACCTCGGATATCAAACCATTCAATATCATGGTAATCCAAGTCTATGCCCTGACCAGTAACGCTGAAGAAGCTGAGGATGAA